GTATTTTGAAGACCCAGGGGTGGACTTTCAAAAATCTAGAGTAGCCAAGTTAGGTCTGAATTTGAGTCCTGCTTCTCCCTTTCAGGAGCTCTGGTGGTGTAGTGCCTAAGGCACTTGACTGCTAACCAGAAGGCTGGTGGTTCAAACCCACCAGCCACTCCTTAGAAGGAAGACTGGGCAATCTACTTCCATAGTGATCCACCTTGGAAACCCAAGGAGGGGTCGCTATGAGTTGCAGTTGACTCGACGGCAGTGAGTTTGAGTAGTCTCTCCCTTTTCACTCTGACCTCGTCCAAAGTCTAATGTGACACAGCCTCAGTTTCTTCATTTGTGACATGTAGCTATGGTAAGACCTGCCAAACCTACCTTACGAAGCTTCTAGAATTTTGCTGTGAATTAAAATACAAATCAGCTGTCCAGAATTTGTTCTCTTTCCTCCCATTTTGAAAACCGTATGACCAGTTTTCTGGCCCCTCTGCTGCTGTCCACAAAGCCTCGAACTTTCTGGCAATTCTTCCTCTGTGGCTCCTGCAAGCTCTCTCTGCACTCTCAGATGTAATTCACGGGGCCTGGCCATTCTTTTCCACCACATTCACCAAATATTTGATGAGCACCAAGCACTGTGTCTGGTAGTGACAGGCTATGACCTAATCAGGGACATCAGGATAAGCTTTTCTGAAGAAGTGATGCTGGGGCTGAAATCTAAAGGGCAAGGAGGAAGTTAACAGGTAAAGAGTATAAAGAAGATTGCGTCTTTGTAGCAGAAAGGAACAGACCAAGTATGACAGGCTGAAAGCAGGTTCAGGAGGAATAGAGCAGAGAGAATGAGAGGCTTATTGTATGTAGGATGAGGCTATGGAGTTAGGCAGGGGAGAACCAAGGTAAGGAGTTTGGCGTTTATCCAAACATCAATTAGAAAGCTCCTGAAGGGGTTTTGCGTGGTTGCTATTTGGAGAAGGACTGGATGGAGACTGTCAAGAATAGTTATACAGAAACTTGCAAGGAGCCAACCTAACACCCCGGGGTGGCTTTGGCTGTGACAGTAGTAAAGAGAGGGACTCTAAAGAACTTGAAAAAAAAATATATAAGCCCTCCCCTCGCATGAGTTGCCAGTCTGATTAGACCATTTATTGAAGCATATCCAGCAGTGGACGAGGTCACTGTGGGCATGCTCTTGGCTGCTGCTGCTGCTTTCCTGTGTAGCTGGAATAAGAAGATGGTGGGGGCGCACTCACCCAATGGAGGCCTGGCCATCCTCCTCTCTTATGCTTCTCATTTGTGAGATGATCTCATTTCTCTGGCCAACCAGAGTGGTAAGATGCCAAGGAGAAAGAAATGGCCTTAGACTATCACAGTAACCTAAAGTAAGTCCTGGCTTCTCTTGTCCATTTCTACTCTATGGTTTGGAAAACAAGCCCAGCACATAAGAGGGTACTTTGTTTCCCACTAGCCATTGGTGTATGTTTCCCACTAGCCACGTGTGTCTCCTTTGGGAATCTTGTTTACGTAGTTGTGGTCAAGTGCAGAATTCTGACATTTCTAGGCTTCTTGATCATAGTATCATCTTAATATCATCAAATCTGTATTACTTCCAATACCTTCCAATAGCACTCCTAATGCCTCTCTTACCCCATCCTACTGTCCACTCACTCATTCATGTTTATGTATGAGGCACTGCTCTATGTTCTGCCAAGAGAACATCCTCAAGAAGCCAGGGTCCCTCAACTTTCTCCTGATGAACAACGAGTTTTGAATTTTTCCTGAAATGTTCATGTTAAAAGACATTTAAGATAAATAAACCTAACTCGCATGAGGCAGGGCATCCCTCACCATCAGTCAGTTGTTTACACTTGTATACATACTACAGCAAACAAAGTCACTCAGGAGATGAAAACAAAGGAGATACCGAAGTGGGGAAATAAATGGTGAAAGAAAAGTAAGTGTCAGAGAAAAAGTGAGAAATGGTCCATCACCTCCAGACAGACAAGTATGCCTTGCTCCCAGCTGGTGACACTGGCTGTGGTATGCTACCTGGCTCCTGTTCATCATTAACCAACAGCTTGGAACTGAGGAGTTGAGGACCTCCACCTTAACGTCCATCTCCACCTCCACCTCTCTTACTTTTTGCAGGCCCATTTCCTCCTTTTTTTCTCTGTGCAAGTCTGTTGACATTATTTTTGTTTCACTTGTTGCAACACATATTACTTTCCTTCAACAGAATGCCCCATCCCTTTCAGGATGTCTGTTCATGGGATCATGAACTTTTTAAACTTGAGTTTTTTGAATTCTGTATTCCTAAAGTTTAGGGTGTGTTCTTGGTAATACCTTACGCTCCATTGTTAAGAGATAACAAAAGTAATCACTTTCTAATGTAATTCCTATCACTTACAGCTGCATAACTAGTTATATCTTGCTGGTTAATTAAACCTAGAGACACTTCCTCTCATACTTTCCTCATACCTTTGAGAGATTTTCAGAAAGTCAGGAGTTTACTCTATGCTGAGTTTCATGGAACGAGGCTTCCAACACTCGTGCAATTCTGCTGTCTTGCCTTTGTGCCAGTTTCTAAATTTGCACTAGGAAATGTTTTAGTGCTTTACAGTTCATGAATTATCACAAATGATTTGATATTCACAGAAATGGACAGGTCTTTTTTTACTGTCTCTGTTTTACAGATGAAAACGCTGAGGTTCAGAAAGGGTAAGTGATTTGAGCAAGTTACTCAGATAGGTCAGAGTCCCTTGCTCATTTCACTGTTGCTCAGCTGCCTCAACAGTCTGTAAAATATTATCAAACTGCTATCTCACAATTGGGAGCTCCGATAGCGTAGTGCGTAAGGCATTTGACTGCTAATCAGAAGGCTGGTCGTTCAAACCCACCAGCCACTCCTTGGAAGGACGATTGAGCAACTTACCTCCATAGAGATACTGCCTCAGAAACCCAAGGAGAGGTCACTATGAGCGGGATCCCACTCAATGGCACTGAGTTTAGTGTGTGTGTGTGTGTGTGTGTGTGTGTGTGTGTATATATATATATTTGACTCGAAATTATCCATAACGAAAACCACACATAGCCATATAAAGCTGTCCCACACACCACATTGGTCATGCTGCCTCAGAAATATTTTCCTCAAAAACACATGTATCTTATTATAGTTACTACAACCCATTAGACTCTGTGCGGATATATTTGCACCCTCCCTCCATGCTTTTGGTAGCATCATCTGTTCTCCACCAATGAAGACCAGCTCTGAAAACTGCATGTGACAACTACTGCGACAACTGCTCTCAGCCAAGTAATCTACCATCAGATTTCCAGTTGACTTGTTCTGCAATGTGTCTACTCTATTGCATCCTCTCTGATTTTGTGTTCTAGCAATCATTCTTAACCCTCCTAGTATCACTGACTAAAGTTTTGTGATAGTGGTGGAGCTCCCATGAAGAAACAAAAGGATATCATATTGGAACTTAACTTGGAAGGAAGGTTGGGCAATCTACTTCTGTAGTAATATTGCCGTGGCAACCCAAGGAGTGGTCACTATGAGTTGGGCCAACTTGATGGCACATAACAACAACAACAACAACAAACACCTGAAGGAAATGTTTTTATTAAAAAAAAAAGTATCAGGTAATTAGGGACTTGTGGGCATTATTTCACATAAAGAGTATCATAATTGTAATCTGGGAGGACAGACCAGTAGTGTATGACTTTAAAGGATTTAAAAACGTTAATACCTTTCCATGAAGACAGTGCTAGCGTGACTAACATTGGTTTAATTAGCTTGCCTCTTCCCCTTCTTTTAGGAAAGCATCCTCCAGCATCCATCTCCAATCACTACCCCCACCACCTAAGGTACAGGTGATATGGAGTGTATTTTTCCCCTCAGGTAGAGCATTAGTCTCCCACTCCAGTGATCAGTTCCTTTTGAACAAAGCCTACTCTCATTTCCACCATCTAGTCTTGAAGGCCATCTGTAAGTTTGGTATTTTTAAGCAGGGGTAATTTTTCGTAAATGTTCTCTAATTCCACTTTTAAAAGTCTGTATACATTTTCTATCTTCTGGAACCAATTTATTACAAATGTATTTTCTAGGAAACTATGCTAAAATGGGGAAACAGTACTCACCCCAGTTTGAGAGATGTTTCTCAGCACAGCACAGCACCCAACACATCTCAGTGCTCATGCTTGTTTTAATAATCTAAAGTGCAATATAGCATACTGCAATTAATTGATAGCACTTATAAATGTCTTTCAGGTCCTCAAATAAATTAAAGATGCTAGTAGCCTCACCCATCTATTATTTGCATCTCGAACCATGGCTAACAAGTGATCAATTACCCTGCTGAAGGAAGAACTAAGCCCTAGCAAATTAAGACTTCAAATCAATGGAGAACACAATTATCATCACTGACAATGCACCTCTTGGGCCTCCTTCTCCACCCTGACACAGACATCTTAAGTAGCAGAATCTTACTGACTGGGAAAAACTAGGGAAAATTAAGAAGGTTACAACTTTTAAAATTGTTATCTGTATATGTAGATAAATATGCAAAAGCGCAAAGGTTCTCTATTTTACAATTCCATTTGTAAACTTGAGTTTTCCCAATAGTTTAAAAATCACTTTGAAGATGTCATTCTCATTTTACAGTATCACATTTCACATCCTAGCCTTTACACACTGCATATACATCTGCATGAGTGAACGCAGAATGTTTTACTGCTAAGGTCCTTTTTAAGGACACCTGAAAATGACAAAAGAACTGAAATTATGAGATCCAAACTTTAACATTAGTTCACTTAAACTCTTCAACTCCTTTGTTGCCTTATCCATCAAATGGGCTTAATATTCTTTAAATATCTCACCTGGTCCACAAAGGGAGAACAACAAAAGAAACCAGCCAGCATGTTGGAAAAATTTCTATCCGCACATATAATCATGAAAGTCTTCACAATCCTTTTGATAAGTTAACAAGCAAGACTCAATGACAACGCATTAATTTAAGAGATTTCAATTTTTTATTTTTTCTTTTATCTTCTCATTCAGAAGGTAGAAGTATCGTGTAGAATATCTGCCCACCCCTCTCCCACCATTCCTAACCATTCAATAGACTGGGATCCCGGATGCATTAGTAGAATATCAGTGATATTATTATGTACAATTGTTTAAAGCACCGTATTAATAAGGCCAAGGTCCTAGGATTAATCTCCACACGGGACAATTAGTTTTAATTCATTCCATGGACCCAGACTGCACTCCTACCTGCAGTTTGCCAGCAATGCAATTGCCACTAGTCACAAATTAGGGGACTGGCAAGGTGGTAAATGGATGAAAACAAATCTACTTCCACTAATAATTTTTAAAAATCTCAAGTATGCTTCCTATTGATGATGAGTTAATAGAATCTTATCCATAAAGAATGAACCACATATATTCTTAGCTCTATGTTAAACACATTTCAGGCCTAAAATACTCAGTAACAGTAATATTGGCCTCCTGCATTTTAGAACCGTCTGATAAATCACACTCCACACAAAGTCCTGCTAACTGCACCTAACTTGTGTGACAAACTGTTTATTCCATACAAACATCCTTTTCTCTGTTAATACTAAATCATTTACCCACCATGTTTTTTGCATATCTACTATTAGTTATTTGGTTCAGAATATTGTTAAAAATACATCTGGGAAATTATTCAAAAAACTGTATTCTGTATTTTTTATTTTTCAAACAGCCAGTGTCCACATTTAAAATGCAGAATTTGCAAATATAAATTATTCTAAAATTCAATTAAAAATAAAGCAAAACAACTTCCTTTAGTATCACAACACATAAATGGTATTATAAACTCCAAATGGCAAGATTAACTATATGAAAACAGTAATGTCAGAAGCTGTGAACGTTATTAAACCTCTTAATGAATAGGTCAGTTGAGAGAACATTTTCATGTCCCATGACAGTGCATGGAATAATCTTTCATTGGATTGGAAAGGTTCAGCAATTCATTCCATTCATGGCATAATACGGGGTTCAAGCAAGACTTTATTTTTACAATGATAATAAAAATGCATTAAAAAAAAAAACCTCCTCCCAATTGTTTAAAAACAATTCTATATGGAAGGCAAAATATATTTTAAAATATATTGACTTACCAAATTTCAACTGTCAGGCTGTCGACTACTAATGTGAAAGTTTTTATTGAAAAATACCACAAATATCTTGTTATTTAACAATGAAAATTTCAATTTGATAAGATTCATTGCAAAGCAATTTTTCACCTGAGATTTTGAAATTTCGTGCGCATATTTCTGGGGAGGCAAGGGGAAGGAAAAACCCACTCTGTTTCTGGTATTCAGTTTGCAGTTAATTCGTTCACACTGACATCCTAGGGGATTGAAGAAACAATCTGCCGTCACCTTCTCAAGACACACAATGTCCCTCCTTTTCCCATGTAAATTTGCTCTGGCATTTTATGAATTCTCAGTATCCATAAAATATTTCTGCTTAGTTACTCATTCAAGCATAGCAACCAAATTCATTCAGTTCTATACAACAGCATCTATATTATGTACACGTTTAATTATCAATAGGAAATAGAAAATAAAAATTTACAGTGATTGAGAAAGGGTCAGATGATGGGATAGGAAAAGTAATACTGTATCATCAGAATATCCTCTTATCCTACCAGTTTCAATGACAGGATTTTTCTTTTATTGGCTGAAATACAAAGAAGGCATAGGGGATCCCAAGAAAATAACACTATATATCAGAAAAGTCAACGTGCTCCATCATCAGGATTTCCATCACACATTTAATTTCTTCTGTACAATTTTTATAAACTTTTTCTTTTCAAAATCATCAGATTTCCAGATTAAATTCAGCACTACACAGTATGCCCTTGAAATAAAATGAGGTTACCTGCTTTATTTGGATACCAAGTTCCCTTCCAGACAGCATTAAAAGAAAGACAAGACTACACAGATAAAATCCAGTATAATTCAAATCCAACAATGAAAAAGTTTCCCCATATTGTTGCAAAATTCTTTCTACTGAAATGCTTTGCTACAATAATAAAAAGCATACATTACATATAAAAGATACCAGTGTACTAAAAAGTGACAGAAGTGGACTAGCAAATCCTTCAAAAGCACATTATATAAATGACTAGCATTTAAAAACATTTCTCCTATAAAATGTAGGTCATATACATTTATAAATTGGCGGTTTTATTTCTAAAGCAGTGATGAGTGTTCAAATAGTTAGCTGTTTTGTACAGTATAGTATCTACTCGATTCCAACTACATTAGGTTTGTCTTTCTTTGTACTGAAGTTGAACAAATTCATCTGCTCAGTTGAGAAATCAACCTTGAAAAATAAGTATCTAAAAATCAAAATAGAAAGTTTAGAATTATTTGTAGTTATGAAATATGAAGAGAGCTATCTATTTCACAATGGAGCTGAAGTCACCTCAAACTTACGGGCGTGAATTTAAAACAGAAACAAATATTAAAACCCAAAGCAAACCGCAAGATTAGGCAGCAGTACAGAAGCAGGAAAGAAAACAAAAACAACACACCCCTTCCTTCAGTGTGATGGGCACTAAGTTTTGCGGTCTTCCTCCATCTTGCAGAAGAGTGGTAAGGCCATTCAATGCTTAGTGAAAGTGAGTACAGATGAAGTCAGATTTAGCCTGTCTCCCCTGCAACTTCAATTATGCTGTGTAAACAGTGTTACGTTCCGATAGGAGGAACAATGGAATTTGCTTATAAAAACTGATTAAAGATAATCATTATTAAATGAAATAAAGATAACTGATAACTCTGAAATGTTTTTAGAACTTTCCTGATGCTACTTGTAAAGTTAGCACTGCTATGTATTATTGCTTACATACAGTACAACATCATATGCCTTCTAACATAAAGCAGTACTGTGATTTGTTTGTACATATTTACAGATTCTTAAAAACAAGCTGTAAAAACATTACATACTTTCAGACATTACAAATTAGCACATTGGTACTCACTTTAAAACAAATGGAATGCATAACATTAATAAACATTGTAAAGGAAGACTCACATAAAAGTCCTTGATTGTCAAGACACGTTTATATATAAACTCTAACTGTGCAGAATTAAAGATTCAATCATAGGTACATCCTTATTTGATGAACCATATTTACAGCATGGTATTGCATAAAAAAATAAAATAATGTTTACAGGGTTTTACTTTTTTTATCCATTGGATTAAAGAAAGCAACAAACATAACAAAGAAATGTTTGTCTGCTTTAGTTTGTTTCCTACCAAAGTTTAAGTGAAAAAAGGAAACATAAGGTTTTTATTTGCAGATATAGCAAAAACTGGAAAATTATTTCCCTGAAATAAAGCAATTTGAAACTGAAAAAGTTTAAATTAAATTGCAGACTCAAAATTTTTTCATTGACTATAATAGTGCTTCTTCAAGTAAATACACTGTGGAAAAAAAAATGAGTTCTAGTTTAAAATCTTTTAAGTCTAAGAAATGTAGTACTATAGTAATGCCTACTTTAAAAGTTTCCCGGCTTTTTTTTTTTTTTTTTTAAACAGCCCTTTAAAAACTCAAATAAAATTAAAGAAGTGACAAAAGATCAAACCTAGCTGGCATTCTGCAAGTTTCTCTCACTTGTGGAAATGAAACCTACCCTGAGCACAAGGCCTCTTCTACCTTTTGAAAAGAGAAAATTACTGGACTGCAACCAATTCTCAGCTAGGGCTAAAAAGATTTCTACTCTATCAAGTAGAAAATTTGCATGTAGATCCAAAAATTTTAAGCGGCACTCAAATATTCTGAACCAAATGAAATATGTGTGCAATAAGGAGTTAAGAAAAAAAGACACAAAAAACTTTTAAAAGATGTTCCAGAGGTATTACCTCACCTAAGGTGACCTGTTTCCAATCTTCAAACATGAGACTAGGTCCTCAGTGAAAAAGCACACCTCACTCTTATTGATCAAAGGTTTAAGGGTATAAGAGCATGTTTTTATACAACAATTTGCTCGCTGAGAGAAATGAGAAACACAAACTGCAAAAAAGGATATCTCATATCCTGAATGTTCCAAACTAAAGCCGCACAAAAGACTGCTTGTTTTCTCTAGTAATGCCCAGACAGAAATTAAATAACATTCTGAATCAAAGTAGGGAAACCCAAACTATTGAGATGTTTATCGTAGTGATGATAATAAAGGTAATTCTGGTAGGCATTTATAATTTCACAGTAAAAGAGTAATGACTATACTTAAATGGTAAGTTAATAATTTATGCTGCTAAATATCACTTATCCCAAAAATGCTTATAACTTGGTATAAAAGTCTGCCATTATGTAGATTTACAGAAATGTGTTGAAGACAGAAATGCAACACCTGAATTTCTGTTTGCATAACTACTGTCTCCCAAGGCCTGCCTTCCTAAGCTTACCCTAACTGCCCAGCAATGGAGTCACATTCTAAAAACTGTGCTAGTGATTTGAAACAAACCAGAAACTTTACACTGTAACAAGAACTACATCAAGTTCTCAATGGAACAAAATTTTTGACCAGGCTGAAAAAAATAAATTTAACTCAGAAAATAAATGCCTACTATATCTAATACTATAAAAAAAGGCAAATGCCTATCTAGTGTGAGCACAGTTCCATTTAAGATCTCACCTGAATGAAGCCTTCTTGCAATTACATGATGCACAACACAACACATACCAACCCTAAAAGTCAATAATGGCAGAACTTAAATATCTACTTCAAGGAAGTCTAGTTCCTTCCAAAATTTGGCAGCAAAGAAAGCTGTCAAATGGGAAAACTAGTATTTCAAGCAAAGCTTAATAACCAAAGTGTAGAGGAAACCACATTAAACATAATAATATTCCATATCATAAAAACACCAATATATTCAAAATAAATGTGAAGGATGTTAGGGTGAATATTTCTTTGTCCCCCCCCCCCTTTTTTTTTTAATGAGAACAGTCTTGGGATATCATTAAATAAAAGAAAAAAAATAATTTAAATGGATAACACATTTTATGTTGAAACAAAGACTACATATTTATAGGGCCAATAGAAAGGCTAGAATGGAAATTAACAACAATAAAGTTTAATCTTCTGAAAGTATTAAACTTTAGATTATCACTGGTGCTATATATTTAGTATGTGCATTGTGACAAAGATGGTGCAAATTTTAAATAAGAAAACCAAAAAGCTGGAACAAATGAAAGAGGGTAACAGAATTAGTATAACTAATGTTATTTCCCAAAAATCAAAACTGTCCAATATGCAACTCAATCCATTATTCTTCCAAAAAGTGTATATAGATATATATATAGATATATAAAATCACTATTTATTGTACCATGCTGTATTATTTTAAGACAAAGTATTTAAAAAAAAAAAACATTCATGGTATAAGGATAAAAGTCTGTAGTTTATTTAGATTTTGAAATGCAACAAAAAGTTTCCGATCACTCATCTAGCTGAAAAATAAATTGTTGTTACTAGAATTAGTAAACACTTTTGGTTTGTAAAATTGTAATGAGCAATGTTCATTAAAAAAGTAACTTAAGATAAAATAAGCAATTAAAATGCCCATTTCTTTAGTTTCTCTGGATACTGTTTAATTATCTAATCGATTAAGATTCTAGAAAGAGAAGGATTAAAGCAGGTTTCACAGCTCCAAAGATAACCCAATTTCCTTTTATTGCCCAAAATTAAAATAGTCAATTATGAGATGATTATGACACAACCATATCAAACCTAAAAATCTAATTTTTTTTTCACTTTGAGAAATCAAAAATACCAAATAGATTCTAAGTGCTCTATGTTAACTGAAGTGTATATGTAAAGTAAAATACAATTAAGCTTTAAAACGTGGAATATACATTTTGTGTAAGCATTATGTTCTTGGGAATGTAATCTACAGAATATTTTTTTACTAAAACTTCAAAACGTTGATACCTGCACATGAAAAATCATAAAAAATATCTAGGTACAACTGTACAAAGAAACTAACACCGATATGCATACTTCCATAGAGAAGTGAATGCTTCAACAGCTGTGTATTTTGGTAAAAGTTTTGAAAGTATGCATATTTTAAAAGTAATTAGGCTTTTAAATAGTGGAGTCTTAGACTATCAGATTTTTATTACTTTTTTTCAATCAAAAAAACACATATCAATATAATGCAAAATGAAAATCAAGGGTATATGGCAGATCATTCTTTTTAAAAGGTGGTTTCTTGGTTTCTTTTCCCCCCTATAGGACACACTAATTAATTTAAGCCATAATCTCTTGACATTTAAACTTTTAAGTTCACTCTGTCTGTAAAGTATATTCAGATTCCCTGCTGAAGTGCACTGACTACGCTGAAAAACTCAGAAACAGTATGAGTAAATTTCACACAATTACTAATCTCCTAAGAATGTACAACGATATCAGTTAGGAAACAATTGTGCGAACGTCTCTCTTTTTTTTTTTTTTCCTTTTTAACTTGGTGTAGGTAGAATAGCAAGTTTCTGATCTAAAACAAGTAATGCATTGCTTCTATAAAGGTGACAACATGTAAGGCAGTTCAAAGAATGCTGACTAACCAAACAAAATGCAGTTAATTGGATTATCTTGCTATTCATATCAGCTTAACTTGTTATAACGCATTGCTCTTAAATCTGTACAGCACTCCATCTTACACAGAGTAACCCCACTCTTGATTAATCTGTTCTAAAGTGCCAGTATTATTTACATATTTTCTTTTTTTAGCCAAAAGTCTGGCCAGTTGTGGCATCTGGTGAAGATGTCATCCCAGCTCTATTATCATTTACATTCACCAAGGGAAATTCTGGAAATTCAGCACTTGTCCCTGGTCCCCGAAGGTTCACCTGTCCATTGGCAGTGCTAAACTGAGTAGCTATTCCAGCTCTTGAGCCATGATACGGAGCACGGAAGGGCTGTTCAAAAGAGCTCATTTGGTAAGCTTGGTGGACAGGCTGAGCCTCAGCTTTCTTTTGAGAAGTCACTTGATCCAAAAAGTCCTGGGTTGATGTGGCAGAAGCATGGTTTGTCTCATCACCTGAAAAGGGAAATGAGTGCTGTGAATCACCAACTATTAGTCCAAAGTGGGACTTATCTGGAGTTGTTCTTAGTGGAGAATTCATTCCTGATCGAAAGCTATTGATGGGCATGGCTGCATAGACTTGCTTGTCTATGGAAGAGAATGCTGGCTGATTTGGAAGGGTCTGGTTATCAGTCACAAAGTTAAGGCTCGGGCTATTCAAATAGGCATCATTTTGGCTAGTTCTGTCCAAAGCCTGCTGCAAAAACTTTGAGTATTCTTGCAACATGTTGGCTTTATCGGATGAGGATGCTTGGGAGCTTGATCCAACATTCTCTGACTGGGTGACCTCAGGTACTTCTGAAGAATTTATTGATATGCTAGAAGTCACCTCAGTGTCAGCAACACTGAATGATATCTCGTGCTGTCCATTAGCTTTATGGGAATAATGATCCAACAGAGTCTGCAGTACCTCATCTGGAATAACATTTTTGTCATGATTACTCTTAATCTCCACATTCAATGCCTGTGAATCCAATATGGATGCTGTGGTACTTTCATCAATGACACTTGCCACAGCTGCTTGTGTTACAGAAGGCTGAGAAGCTATGGTACCCACATTCAGTGCATACTCCCTACTGTTGTTACTTGCTGCTTGAAGATATCGCTTCTTCTTCAAAAACTGCATGGCATCATCATAATTAGTACTACTATGCACTGGTTTACTGGGCCCCTCTTGCAAATTATCAACTTGATCAATGTCAGCATTGCCTTCTGAGTCCAGCAGACCTTGTTTATCCACAAGTTCAAAAGCATACTTTGAAACTTTGCTTTCTTCATATGTGGATAAAGGTGAAATTGTTTGATTTTGCTCCAGTGGCTGTTTCAGACTTCTCTTACTATTAATTTTTTTGAGAACCAACTTAGGTGGGTGTATTTCTCCTGATGCATCTTCTAAATGTGATCCCCCAACCGAAGAATGAGGCATTTCAACAGCATATTCTGCTACCATATATTCATCCTTTACTTTAGTACTTGATGAATAAAGAGGCAAGTAATCATTTTTGTCTTTCTTCAGGTCAGATTTATCTATACCACTCTCTTTGTCCATTCCAGATGATTTTTTCTCAGTTTTCTGCCTTTTCTTTTTTGGCAGTGAGTTATCTTTTGGTGATGTAGAAAAGCCAGAATCTTCCTCAGATGTCAGAAGGCCACCTTTGATGGCACATCTGTTTAGTTTCTTGTCATGATTTTCATGGCACATTCGTTTATGTTTCAATACACGATCTGTTCTGGAAAAATACTGTCGAATTCAGAAGGCAGTAGTGGGTTGGTTGGTTTGTTTTGGTCAATCAAGAAAAGAAAACAAAACAAAGAAAGAAATTAATATGAAGAGATATGTAAGTATAACAACATATGCAATTCCAAACTAATTTGCTGATTCAATTTTCTATTATAAATCTAACAAATGACAGTTGTGAGGTTCGTCAAATAGTTCTAGCAGTAAAAAAATAATATTTTCTAACTTAACTCACTAGAACCATTTTATAATTTAATTTTGGACAAAGAATTTCAATTTATCTCTTACCTGTAAACAGTATTCACACTGGTAAGGTTTTTCTCCACTATGAGTTCTCTTATGCCTTTCCATATGATATTTTTGTATGAATCTCATACCACATTCATCACAGCGAAATGGTTTTTCACCTAGTACATGATACAGAAAGTTTAAAACAAAACAAATACTGTCAAATAATGAATTGATTTTCCATAACAATTTCTAACATGAATGGCTTCTGAAAGTCAACATAATTTGTTTTAAACAGGAAAAGAGTAAGTCTCCCCTATATTAAATATACTGTCTAGTTTACTAAGTCAAGTGTATTTTGCTTTATAAATATGAAAAGAATTGGTATGCCAATGGTTACATTCTACACAAAAACACTGTTCTACATCCTACCTCGGTGAGTAAAGACTAGAGTCTTATAAGCTTGCAAGCAGCCGTCTAAGACATAATAATTGGTCTCGTTCAGAGAAAAGAAGAATGAAGAAAATGAAAGACGCATGGAAACCATCAGTCCAAGGGACTAGTGAACCATGCCAACCTCAGCCTACATGACCATGAGACCAAAATAACTAGATGGTGCCCAGCTACCTACCACTGTCAACCACTCAGAAAGGGATCAAAATTAGAGACTGTGGATAAAGTGGGAGAAAAATGTGGAACAAAACTCAAAATCATAAAACTGGTCTCACAGAGACTGGTGAAACCCCTGAGACCATGGCCCCTACTGATCCATCAGGCCCGGAATTGAACTCACTCCCATGGCTTCCAGCTGGACAGCAGATGACAGGTGTACAGGGTGAACATTTACACCAGGTAGGTTTGCTCCTTTGGACAATCAACCATGGGAGAACAGAAAGGCAGTATTTGCACAGGGAGATAGCTCAGAGGGCAAGGGTACATAAGAAAGAAGAACACAGGGAAAGTGTAAACCCAGGGAGGAAGTGGGAGGTGAGCTGTTACATTATGGGGACTGTAATCAATGTCATGAAACTAAAACTGTATGACCTGTTGTATGGAAAATGAATTTGCTCTGTAAACTTTCTCCAAAATCACAACTGGGGGGAAAAAAAAAGAATTGGAATATGCCAATGGAAAGAAGAAACGGAAAGCAGGTATACTCAATTTCCTTGTCTTTCTACATGCGTACAACACATATTGTTTCCACGAAGACCAGCAATACTAGGAATTTATGGCAATATGGGCACTAGTTTAGTGCAGCAGTTGATGTCTCTAATCTTTAATATTTTGGAAAACATTAAAGTTTGACTTTAATGACTTCTTAGCAATAACGAACATTATAGAGATCTGAAATAGTTTCTACTGATAAAACCACATTCTAAGTACACAAAAAGGTCGGATAACAAGTTGCCTTAACTGATGATTATGTGAAACTATTATCGTTCTCCTCCTACTTATCATACAGTCAACAAAATTTTAACAATTATTTCTCCTCTACCTATAGCTCTGCTGTAAGAAGTTAAAAGTGTAAGACATACGACTTGTCTTTAAAGAATTTACAACATATTTGGGAAAACAAGATAGATATGTAATAAAAAGACAACAAAACAAGGTCCAGCTCTGGTTTATTTTTACAACTTTATACCCCACTGTTTCCCAACTTAATTCTTTCTTCCAACCAAACCAAAATCCTTACCATTCCACATTTCCCTAACTTGGTTCATGCTTCCTTAAGTAAGGAATGCCCACCTCTTTGTGTTCAGACATTACATTTCCTTCAAGATTCAATCCATCTCCTCTTTACTCTATTTCCCTAGGGAAAAGGTATCTTCATCTTTTTTGAAATTCCACAGAACTTCATCTGTACCTTTCCAACTAAATAATTATTTTGTGCATTTCCATTCTACTCAGTGACACATCTTTAAGTCAGAATCCGCCTAATTTACCTTTATGCAGTTCAAAGGACCTTGTGCAATTTTTAAGTCCCAAGTGAATGGCATAAATGGGGCAATCTACTTCTGTATTGATACTGCCTTGGAAACCCAAGGAGGGGTCATTATGAGTTGGGTCCGACTCGATGGCATATAACAACAACAAACAACATTATAGAGTGTAAGTGGGAAAATATTACTATGAGCTGGTATGATTTAGAAAAGCTCCTGTGAAGAGTTAGAAGACTCTAGGCTGAGTAGAACTTAGAGAGAGTGTGTGCATGTCATTAAAGTCAGATAACAACAACAACAACAACAAAAAAACCAAACTCACTGCCATCAAGTTGAATGCAGTTCATAGTTACTCCAGAAAGTAATATTTGGGGAATAACTGAACAACTAAGGGTTCAGATACTAAGGTGTCCAGGAGAAATGGAGCCTAAAAAGATAATTTTATTTGGCAAAAAGCAAATTATTTGAAACCTGCAAAAATGGAACATCAGAAATTTCTAGCAAGTTACCAAATTTTAATGCTGAAGAGACTTTCCACTCGCTTTCAAACTGTGCTCTTGGGGGCTTCTACAGAGGCTTCCAAGAGCTACTGCTGGGTACAGCAAAAAGTTTTAAGCTTGCTTCCCACAGAAATCAGTACAGAATAGCTCCATTCTTGTATACTGGGGCTCCAAGTAAGCTTTCTTTTGAACTAAGGGTTCAGAGACTAAAAATCTATCTTAACACAACTAAAACACCTTGCTCGTTTTACAGAAAAGAAAATTTGAAGTCCAGAAAAGTTCAGGGGCTTGGCAAGGGACTGTGGGAAGAAGAATTTGATACAGCTGGGGTTTTCTAGTCTAATGTTCCTTCTACTGTAACACACTGTCCTAAGAAGGCAAGTAAATGGGGGAATGAAGCAATGGAAGCTAATAGAAAGGACTGCTCAGCAAGGAAGCTGGGAAATGAAAGAAATGAGGAAAACTAATAGTCAGGAGGAAAATGATTCAAGAGTAAGCACTGTTAATGATGGGGAAATGGAATTATTTGAAAGCAGAAAGGAAGGAGCAAGTGAATTATATTTGAAAATGAATACTAATCTGAAATTGATTAGTATGGTGAATAAACAGAAGAACAAGATTCCAGGAGAACCAATATGAGAAAGGAAGGTGAATATAGGTAATATAGGTGGAAAGGAGAAGGAAAAATAGCTGCATATTTTGAAATGGAGAATGTGGATGATAGAGCTCATGAAGATAAGAAGTTAAAAATGAGAAAGAATGAAGGAGAAAATTAGAGAACTTAGAATTCAATTAATTCTGCATGATGTTCAGGGATCAGAAGACTTAATATTGTTAAGATGGCAATATACCCCTAACTATTTACAAATTCAGTACAAATTGGCAATTTGATCCTAACGTTCATATGGAAACACAAGAGTAGCCAAAACAATCTTGAAAAGGAATAGTAAAGGTGGAAGACTTGCACATCTCAATTTTGAAACTTACTACAAAATTAGTCATCAAGATAATTTGGTAATGGCAGAAGAACAGACATATACCTATCAAGGAATAGAAGTGAAAGGCCAGAATAAACCTTTAAATTTACTGATCTGCTACAAGGGTGCTAGTATTCCCAACACCATTTACTGAAGAAAAGTTGACCTTTTCTTTGTCAAATTTCTGAATCATTTCTTTATCACAATCATGGATCTATTTCCAGAAAGTCCACTCTTTTCCACTGGTCTGACTATTCATAAGCCAGGACCAAAATGTTTAATTATTAAGATTTTATGATTTAGTTTCCACCTTTTGCCTGTCAGTATGTCATACTGTAGTGACTTGCACATTACTGCGATGCTGGAAGCTATGCCACTGTGTTTCCTACCAGCAGGGTCACACATGGTAGACAGGTTTCAGCAGAGTTTCTAGACTAAGAATAGGAAGAAGGACCTGGTGGTCTACTTCTCAAAAATTTAAGGGGGGGGGGGCGGGAATCTAAAGAAGATGGAAGGAATATACAGAGTCACTGTACCAAAAAGTATTGGGCGATGTTCAACCATTTCAGGATGTAGCATAGTATCAAGAAGTGATGGCAATACAAGCTGCACTGAAGGGACTGGTGATAAAACAAGGCTCCAAGAATTGGCAGAATACCCACTGAAATGCTTCAACAAATGGATGAATAGCAACACTTCCTCGTTTATGCCAAGAAATTTGGAAGACAGCTACCTAGCCAACTAACTGGAAGAGATAAGATATTCATACCATGTCAAAAGGAGCTCTGGTAGTGTAGTGCCTAAAGGCACTTGACTATTAACCAGAAGGCTGGTGGTTCAAACTCACCAGTCACTCCTTGGAAGGAAGGTTGGGCAATCTACTTCCATAGTGATGCTGCCTCAGAAACCCAATGAGGAGTCGCTATGAGTTGGGTCCGACTCAATGGCACATAACAACAACAACAACAACAACCATGTCAAAGAAAGATGTTAACAACAGAATGTGGAAATTATCAAACATTATCATTAATATCACAAACAAGATAATTCAAAGACAGTTGCAGCAGTACATGGCCAAAGAACTGCTAAAAATGCAAGCTGGATTCAGAAGAGCATGTGGAATGAGGGATAATCATAGCTGACGTCAGATGGATCTTGGCTGAAACCAAAGAATACCAGAAACATATTTATCTGTGTTTTACTGACTATGCAAAGGCATTCAACTGTGCGGATCATAACAAATTATGGATAACATTGAGGAGAATGGGAATTTCAGAACACTTAATTGTACTCATGTAGAACCTGTACATAGACCAAGAGGCAGTCATTTGAACAGAACAAGGCGATACTGCTTAGTTTGAAATCAAGAAATCAAGGGTTGTAGCCCTTCCCCATACTTTTCACTCTGTGGGATGAGAAAATAATCCCAGAAGCTGGGCTGTATGATGAAGAACATAGCATCAGGACTAGAGAAAGACTCATTAACAACTTGTAATATGCAGATGACACAACTTTGGTTACTGAACATGACGAAGACATAATGAAGCACTTAATGAAGACCAAGACTACAGTTTTCAATATGGATTACACCTCAACATAACAAAAATCCTCAAAAATGAACCAGTAAACAATGCCATGATAAACAGAGAAAAGATTGAAGCTGTCAAGGATTTCATTTTCTTGGATCCACAGACAATGCCCATGGAAGCAGTACTCAAGAAATCAAACAATGTATTGCCCTGGGCAAATCTGTTACAAAAAG